CCTGTTTTGCCACCAAGGAGGGCCCTAATCTCACAAATTTTTAAATGAGTTGTAGAATGGTAACTTAGGGGCTGCCCTGGTGGCCCAGGGGTTAGTCAGTTCTGAAGCTATGGCTAACTACTGCAGCATAAATTCTACCCCACATGGTACAGCAGACTCGGTCTCTTCCTCTGCTCCCCTCAGCAGTGTATTTCAGTCAGTCTGCATGTTCTGCTTCCCACTGTCTCTGGTGAATCTTCTTGCCCATCCCCCACACCCACCTCTGGCCTACACCGTAGTTCTTCCATGCATAAATAAATAGAAATAAATCTTATTTTTTTTAAAAGAATGATAGCTTTATGTAAGTTTTCTACAATATTTATAACTTGTGGTAGTCACATAAATTTTGAACAGAAATAGAGGTGACTTGGGAGTAGCATTGTTCTTCTAAAGGCTTTAGTTGTTGGCAAACTGTGATTAGTTGATCAGAGAATGCCAGGATTTTAGCAAGGGACTGGTAGACTTATCTTTTGTCGGGGGTAGGGGGGTGAAAGTAGAGGGTGAATGAAGGAGAATGAGTTTGATGAGAGTAGCTTATAGCAAAGTTAATACTCGGGCATCTGTACGACTGTCTACTTAGAAGGTGGTATGCTCCAGGGTTCCTCAGTTCTGTTAATCAATGGAAGATTTGAATGAAGCTAAAAATATACATGCAAGTCCAGTTTAAAGATGAGGGCAAGTAATAATATGTTGAATGAGGAAGTAAGGATTCATTAAAAACCCAGAATAAGAAGAGATATTATAAACTGAAAGAACCGAGTTTAGTTGCATTAAAAAAATAATTGAACAAATGACATAGGATCTGGCTGAGGATCTTCTTTTTAGAAGAGGTCTTCATGGTAGACTGCCACTTTGAAATGAGCCAAAAACGTACTGTGTCAATAAACTGGATCTAGTTGATATTAACAAAAAATAGAATGTTGGGTCAGTTAACTGAGCAGAAGACATTGTATAAACAGTAGGCTTTCAGAAGATGGTTG